AGGTTATCCAAGTCAGATTTAAAGTTTATTAAAATTTGCACAAATTTTAATGAACTTTAAATCATTTTTCTTCAATGCACTTGTAACGGCTTCGTGTCTATATATTTTGAAGTCGTTCATTCATTTCCGGCACATTCTTTGAGCATTATCATTCAGATCGTCCTCTCCTCACGTTCCTGCGTGATCGATCCGAGGACCCAAAGTCTTTATTCGGAGTACAAAAGTAATGCGAGCTCCTACCCGCTTGCAGCACGGTTAATAACATGAAGAGGGTATAGACGGACACACAACGCATGCGCAAGTGTACACACAGCTATAGACTTATTGTAGTGTATGTATCTTCTTCTGCTCTCTTGGAATTCACATCATTGGTTCCACAGCCAGTTAGGTGAGTCTATCGATGTGATCGGACGTGCGTCATTTTTGGAAGGTGTGACCGACGTCAAACGCGAAATTGAGTTTATGTTACTCTTTTAGACTTTCATATTTTGCACATTGGTTTTTTTTGTTACTAACCGCATAAGCGGCATTTTCGATTCTGGCCGTATCGACTCTGTTAGAGTCGGGGCCAATCTCGCCGCAGTTCCACAGGCAGACGCGATTTCTTTTTCTGGAGTTTTTCGGACGAAGTTGAAGAGCGAGCACGTGACGACATTCCGAACCGGCGCAAACCGGCAGCACTTTGTGTTCAATATGCGATTTCGTAGTGAAAACGACGGCCTCTCTAATTTGTGTGTTCTGTGGTTTCAGTTTAACGTTTCTTCTTTATTCTTTTCCTTTCAAGTGCAACAACATTGAAAGTGTGACCGACTCCTTTCTTTTCTTTGTACGTTGGATTTCCTTTAGCTATTCTTTATTACGGCGAAATATCACTAAAATGCTGACTAACAAGGCATTTATTCGAAAAAATTCATGCGATGATATGACGATAATTTATCATTTCTTCATATGACGCAATTTATCTGTATGTGATTTATCTGTATATGTGCGTGCGCTTATAAATAATTCGTCTCCCTTCCTTTTCTCTCCATATGAGAGAATAGACTTAATGATAATACGCATTTCTATATCCGGATCTTGCAATTTTTATAAGTTTGCATTTGTATTGTGTGTAATCGTACAGCAAATAATGTTTAAAAACACAAGACTTACAAACATTAGTGAACGCAAAAAACATTCGTACAAGCAGATACTTAAAACAAAAATCTTATTTTTTTTTAGAAAATAAACGTTAATTTATTAACAAAGAATAAAAATAGGTTGTATATTTCTCAAAATTATTTTATCTAAAAAGATGTGTAACAATTAAATTATCTTGATAATATTATCTTAATAATATTTAATATGTATAACACAATTAAATATACGCATTAAGAGATTAGACAGAGATTACTAATATATTTCTCTCTCTGTTATCGATTTTGTTAAAATTTCTACCCTGCATACAAAAGTCGGCTCAAATCGTTTCATGTTGCGACTCTGAGGGTCTCTACAATGTATGGAATCTTTTTTTTTTTGAAATAAAGAGAAAAAACACAGTATGATGTATTTAAGTATTTCAGTTCTGCTTTTGATTTAAAAGATCTCTTGAATCTGAAAGAGAGAGAAAGAAATATATTAACGAGCACGTTACGATAATCTTTCTTGAAATAATTTTTTTATGACATGACCTTAAAAATATCAAAGGTGAAATAAAAAATAAGTCACGTATTTGAGATACAAAAAATGAAAAATAAATATAGGTAGTGTCACGTTTGTCAAACGTGCTGTCGCATAATCGATCACACAGCATTACTCAAACTTACGTACGGAATAACACCGGTTTCACTGAAGAAAGAAAGTTTAATAACAACCCAGATAACATTTATGTTGCATAAGATATCTAAAAAACGTCTTTTTTTTATGTCTAAAAGATGTCTAAAAGACGTCTTGTAGATATCTTATGCAACATGCATGTTATCTGGGAAGACTTTTTTTAAAATCCCAGACAACACCATTTTTTAAATCCCATACAATATTAATAAAATATTCACAAAATATTTGTAAATATTTATAAGATTTGTTTTAATATTTTGTAAATATTTTTGTGATGTTAGATTGTATGCATCATAAATATATATTATAGATATTCTGAAATATTTATTATAAATGTTGTTTTTTTTAGTAAATATAATTGTTGTTATTTGTAGTAAATGTTATGAAAATACTTAATAAAATATTATAATCCAAATAAAAAATACTTACTAGAAATATTTATTTATATTTATCATAAA